ATGATGCGCCAGTACTCCCCCCACACACCAGCTCTCAGTGGGGAGGAGAACAGAGTGATGAAGCCAGTTCAGAGATGGGGATTATTAGGAGGTCATGATTGGTAAAGGCCAGGGGAAAACATGGCCAGGGCACAGGGGTAACAACCCTACTGTTTTGAAGAAACACCCTGGGATTTTTAATGACCACAGAGAGGACCTCTGTTTTACAGTACGTCTCATCTGAAGGGTGGTGCTTGTTTACAGTATAGTGTCCCTATAGTGACTAATGTAATGCGATGTATGAGCGAATAAGTAGAGGTTGAACAACAGACATTTCACTGCAGAAATGTTCCAGTGTGATCTGCATGCAGAGTTAACAAGTAGGTATTATTTGTCAGTAAAACTGTCTCAAAGTTGAGAGCAATATTTCTATTGGATTAAAAGAGATGGATTCATAAGCCTGCTTGTTTACAATGTAATATGGCTGCTTCACCTCACTGGAAGTATTGTTGCATAATTCTGAATTACAGAATATGGTGCATATCTGGAAATTTAATCTATTTTCTTAACTTGTAACTTGGAGGTTTCACACGATACTGTCTGCATTTCACTTTCACTGTGGTTTGAAATACACTCATCACTGCTGATGTTTTCTAAACCCAAAATATAAAAATACCAGTGCAGTTCTCCTTTAACCTGTGCTGCGCTAGGTGGTCAAATGCTCATAAGTGTTGCACAAATCTTGCAGGCAGGGATCCACAGAAACCAATTCCTGAAACCCCACTGTCCCTATCGAATACAGATTAGCTGTAGAGGGGAAGTTTTCCCCTCTTGGCTAGCTCGTAATCAAATCCGGGTCGAGCCTCGGGTTAAGTGTGGACAAATTAAAAAAAGAAACAAACCCTGTTAATATTCATAACATGTCCGGTCTCTATCAAGAAAAAAGATCTTATTTTCTTGGGAACAAGAGCAATGTCTGAATGCACTTCAAAGACCTAAATTCTACAAAAGGGTTGCCATGGTAACGAAGTTCTTCACAGGGAGGCTGTAAGATCAATAGCCAGTCTCTATGGGATAGTGGGAGAGGATGCAGGAGCTGGATCCCCACCATCTGAAAGTGTTTGTGCCATGGGCCTAATTAGCATATTCATGTTTGGAGAACTTGGTGCTTTTCCGAATCAGAGCTTTGCACTAGGAGCACACTACATGAAGCCAAATTCAGTCATCAGCATTATTATTGTTATTTGCTTACAAGGTGATGGAACTGTACAGTTAGGCCATGAACAAGAATCCAGGCCCTAACTCCAGTCCTGCTGTCCAGCATTGTCGCATTGTGAACGTGGGGCTCTTTATTCAAGTACTGGAAATTCTGAACTGCCAAAGTTGGCAAAGTTGATCCAAGGCGTGCCTTCTAAGTCAACAATGGCACAAGCACCCAGGTACGCGTGGGCTTAATAGATTTAGTTCCATTCCTTATAGAACACAGGAGCTACTTCTTCCCAAACAGTCATGGGATATCCAGTCCATACTCCCTTACCAGCTGTTTAAAGCTGACTCACTGACATACTTTCAAAAATAGGATTGAGAACAGACAGATTCCTGGGACAATGGTCTAATTTCCAGAATAACAGATTCCATTGTGCAAACACAAGAGGAGATCACTACAATTAAATGGAAAGAGAAGAGCCGGAACCTCCTACGGGACAGGGGAGACGCATCAAAGAATCTCACAGCTGAGCATTGTGGAAGCCAAGCTGTTGTAGGTTTTTTCCTCTCTCTCCCATTTCCAATTTTAATTTCTAAGCCACGAGTCTGCCATGCTCACTGAATACCACGGCTCATTCCAAAGTCAAACGTCAGCCAACAGCTTGAAAAAGTAATGACAATAAAATAAGATGGCTTTTCACATAGGAAAACAGAGGAGCCCTGCGTGTCTACTGGGGATTTTCTTCGCACACAAGTCGGCGCTGAAACACGAGCCTGAGGCAATAAGCAGAAGCGAGGCTCTGTTCCAAGGCGGAAAGGACAGGGAGATCACCTGGGAAAGAAAACTTTGCAATAATATTCTAGTCACAAATGAGCCGTCCCTGAGTAATTCTTCATTTTAATTGCCACATTTTGGCGAGAAAGGTTACAAATCAAGCTGTAATTAGTACTTGTAGGTTTGAATAATACGAAGTTGAAAAATATTCAGAAACTAGAGCCCCTAAAGCTCCAGGTAGATTGGTTTCAAGACTGTGTACTACACAAGCTTTTATTTATTACTGCCTACAGTACTTCACAGGCGTGCAAATGTTCCAGGATTCATTTCTTCTGCATCAGCAGTTTCTAGGCGTTAGTGCAACCTACTAATTCAGCAATCATTAGAAAAAGAGGTTAGAATGTGAAACTGTATTACCTAGTGTAGGTATTATTTCTATACTTGTTTATATCAGTTAAGCATTGATGTTTTAACAAACCTGTTCCAGGCCTAGGTATTGCAGAAAATGTATTGTGCGTGGATCACTCCTGTTTTTAATTCTTGCATTTCATGTTCCGTCTTCATCGTAGGCACCTGAGTAACGATGTGTTTATTTGTCCCAAGACCTGCCAGTCTTCACAGTGCAATCGTATTGCTTTGCATCAGCCAGGTTGCCAGGCCTCACAGTGGGTAGGGGCTCTGCTCAGTGATTTGGGTTTCAATCAATCGACAGGTCCGTTGAATGCTTTCAAGACAGCTACTCTTAAACCTGCTTTTTCCTGCTGATTTGTAGTCATTTAGATGCCTAACTTCATTTTCCTTTAAAAAAAAAAGGCATATGTTTTTTTTCTGACTTTTTGAAAATAAAAAAAAAGGTTTGTACACGTTCCAGTCCATCTGGGGATTTGTAACTGATGCAGAAAGAGGCACCTTATTGTGTTTCACACAGGCCATACCGTGCGATGGGTTTCTAGGACAGTTTGTGCAATTAAGAGCTGTCAAACCACAGTCCTCTGGCTGCTGGAACTGTCTGTGAAACCAGGGAAGAGCGAAAAGACAAGTCACGAAAACGAAGCACTTCCAGTGGAAATACAGCAGAGACTTCAGCTGTTAAATTAGATCTGTTTTTAGTTTTTTTTAATACAAACCCTATATTTGTATCGTTGACTGCCATTAATTTGACTGTGCTTGACCGCAATCCATAATTTAATTGCAGATATGAGGAGCAGTGCTGATTTGCATCTTTCTTAATCTGATGGTTGTTGCCTCTGACACCCCAGAAGCAGAATTCTGCATGCTAACAGATACAGTACATCCATTCTACATGAGCCCACGTACCTGTCTTACTGTCTACCAACAACATACAGTAACATCAGCATTTCTATTTTTAGCACATCCTTTAATACTAGAAAGTGATACTTTAGAAGGTTCAACATGGTTAAAGTACAATTTTATTTTTAATGGGCTTAAACCACAAGATATATCACCCTGCAACTCACAACTGGCAATCCACTGAAGCTAAGATGGTGTGAGCCTGGTCAGTACCTGGATGTGAGACCTCTTGGTAAGCTAAGGTTGCTGCTAGAAGAGGTAGGGGGCGCTCACCCTGCGGTCTGTGTGAGTCCTAATGCCCCAGTATAGAGACGGGACACTAGACTATAAAAAGACGCCGTCCTTCAGATGAGACAGAGGTCCTGACTCTCTGTGGTCACTTAAAATCCCTGGGTGTCTTTCGAAAAGAGTAGGGGTGTTACCCCAGCATTCTAGCCAAATTTCTTTCAGACTTTACCAATCATGGCCTCCTAATAATCCCCATCTCTGAACTGGCTTCATCACTCTGTTCTCCTCCCCACTGAGAGCTGGTGTGTGGGGGGTGTACTGGACGCATTCTGGCAGCTGTCGTATGATCCAGGTGATACACCACAGTAAGCTTAAAAGGGGAATCTTTGCAGTGCAAACATAAAAAAACCCACTTTTTTCTTCAGTGTGCATGCTGGGAAGAATGTTTTAATATACATAAATTAAAACGTTACACAAAAGATAATTAATTGTCAATGGCTTACTGTAATTACAGTAAATAGGTAGCACATTACTGATTTGAATATGTAATTTGGTCATTTTCTATGACTGGCGGTGAGAAGGACTCTTTACCTGTGATACTTCGTCATTTAATTAACTTATTCCAAAAGGAACCTGAATTTTAAATTTAATTGATTTCCTTTGCTTTCTTTTCCCATTATGGCCAATTCTTTTCAAGTTTGATATTTTACAAAACTGTAATTCTTAAAGATGTCACCATAAAGTATACCACCGCACACTGTTAAATATACATTGGGTACATATATCGGATACTGTTAAAGTACCCAAGCAGTGTACAGATATGCAACGTTAAGTTCTTTGCACACGTAAGCTAGTGGCAGTCCAGTTCTAACCGGTATTCAGATGGCCATTTTTCAAAGGTGACCATTACTCATGACCTACGTGACTTCATTAAAACAGACACAGCTCTGTTTGATGTTTAATGGAATCTGATGAAGGATGTTTTTAAATTAATAGTTAAGGAGGTGATCTACCAAGCATCTATCCCAGATGTGCATCAGAGAAAGGGAAGGTGTCGTGAGATATGTATGAGATAGTGCTCCTAAACCGAGTCCACTGAGGAATGACAAAATTTTTAATCAGCACTCTAAGCCCTGTATAAATGCTTAATAACTTCTGCAGATAATTTATCTTTATCTTGTTCTTACCTTGATTAAAATGGATTATCATAATAACTGTCGCCTGTTTGACCCATGAATGATTGAACAGAGAAGTGCAACAGGGCCAAGATTTATTTTTTAATAGTAGGACTCACTAAGCTATTGACGTTACGTCTTTACATTCTCTGTTCTTTCTCTTCAGTCAGTTTTCATCAGTTATCTAACAGGCTGAGACACACACCTGCCGCTGTGTTTACAATGTTCTGAGATACAGTTCAGATATCATATGTCCAGCCTGCTTTGCATATGCAAATCAGATGGCATTCAGTGTGATGGTTGACCCTCTCTTCATCTCTCTACAGGAACAGTAAGCTGATATACCATGGAAAGGCTTGTCTTCTGTATGCTGGTGTTCGGAGTGTTGGTGAAGGCACATAACTGTCCCGGCCGCTGCATCTGCCAGAATATCTCCCCCACTCTGACCTTACTCTGTGCCAAAACGGGGCTCCTGTTTGTGCCCCCCACGATCGACCGCAAAACAGTGGAGCTGCGGCTGACAGACAACTTTATCACCGTCATCCGCAGGAAAGACTTCTTTAACATGACTAGCCTGGTGCACCTCACCCTGTCCAGAAACACCATCAGCCAAATTATGCCCCATGCCTTTATGGGCCTCAGATCCCTGCGTGCCTTGCACATGGATGGCAACCGCTTGAGCACCATCAAGAACGATCACTTCAAGGGTCTCATCAACCTCCGCCACCTCATCCTGGGGAACAATCAAATCCACCACGTGGCACCTGCTTCGTTTGATGAGTTCCTGGGCACGATTGAAGACCTGGACCTGTCCTACAATAACCTGCAGACTCTGCCTTGGGAGGCCATTGCCAGGATGACCAACATCAACACGCTCACGTTAGACCACAACCTCATCGACCACATAGAGGCTGGGACGTTCACCCTGCTCAGCAAGCTGGTGCGCCTGGACATGACCTCCAACAGGCTCCGGAAGCTGCCTCCAGACAGTCTGTTCCAGAACGCTCAAGTCCTGACAGACGCTAAGGGCTCCAACCCTTCCTCGCTGGCGGTGAGCTTTGGGGGAAACCCCCTGCACTGCAATTGTGAGCTTCTGTGGCTACGCAGGCTCACTAGGGAGGATGACTTGGAGACATGTGCTTCCCCCGAGCACCTCATGGACAAGTACTTCTGGTCTATCCAGGAGGAGGAGTTTATCTGCGAAGCTCCTCTGATCACCAAGCACTATGCCTCCAAGCCCTTTGTTACAGAGGGCCAGGGGGTGATGCTGAAGTGCAAAGCGGTGGGGGATCCTGACCCTACCATCCACTGGCGCTTCCCAGATGGCAAACTTGTCCACAACAACTCCAGGACCATCCTTTATGATAATGGCACCCTGGACATCCTGATCACCACCCTGAAGGACAGTGGGCACTTCAATTGTGTGGCATCCAATGCTGCAGGGATAGCCACTGCCTCCGTGGAGGTCAAAATGGTGCCTCTCCCCCTCTTCGTCAACAACACCAGCCACATGAAGGAGCCCGATCCCGGCTTGTCCGATATCACCACCTCCTCCAAGTCCTCCAATGACACCAAGAACCAGGACAAGAGAGTGGTAGCTGCTGAGCTGACTTCATCTTCCGCTGTCATCCGGTGGCCCTCTGAGCGCCACATTCCTGGTATCCGCATGTACCAGATCCAGTACAACAGCTCCTCTGATGATACGTTGGTGTACAGGTGAGACTGAGGTTCTGCTATAACATGGTTTCTTTCCTGTTTTGTTCAGTGTAGCATCCGTTGATATAATTCTAGTGAGAATATGAAGCCATCATGTTCACATTTGGACTTTTACTGAAATTCTGCATCAATACCATTAATACAGTTTTATCAATATTGAGTATTGTGTGGTATCAGTGAGTTGCCAAAAACACAGCAAGTTTGGGAAAGTAAAGATTATTCAGTAACTAAAGGAAGACATTTCAATTGAATAGTCACCTTAAAATATTAAATCGGAACACCAAGCCCATCAACACCTTTAATGCATTACCATGGTAGTGGTAGAAGGAGCTCAATTAATTAGGTGTGAAAGGTGGATTGTGTCATATACTGTACAGCATGGAGTGCATGAATGCCATATTGATTTAAATAGAAATCAGAGTTGAAATTGTGTTACAACACTCCAGCTCAGGATCCAGAAGCTCCTGTTAAACTCCTAGGGCTCAGGTAAAAAAAAGCCAAATCACACGGGTTAAAGTGCAAAATGACAAGAAGAAACCAACTCATGTCCTGTGCTACAGTACATCACCTGCTAAATGTGAACAGGCTGCCTTCTGAGCTGTGGTTCCCAATTTTGCCTTGGCCTTGAGTGTGTTGAGCACTTCACAGCTTTTGTTTCTCAGTCTCACTTAGAAACATGTTTAATTTACAAATCCAGTACTTGATGACAGATTTTCATAGGAACATAAGAAAGGTTGCAAACAAGAGGAAGCCATTTGGTAGCTAGTAGTTAATTGATCTAAGGACTTCAACCAGACGTTTGTTGAAGGCAGCCAGTTTATCAGCTTCAGCACATGTCTGGGTACCTGGGCTCGAAATATATTTCCAATAGTTTTCAGTTGTCTCCTGTTGCGTTTCACTGTCAATTCAGAAGAAGTCGGCTAGGTTGACTTTGTCAATGGCTTTGAGGATTCTGAATACTTGTATAAGGTTCTCTCATATTCCTCTCTGTTCACAACTAAAAGGATGGCCTGACAGTGTAGGAATTAAATAGAATTAAACAGATTGTTCTTCCCCTTGAACATGATGACCAAATTCATACATAAAGCCTAACTAGTGTCACTGATGTCGGAAAGGACAAACCGTGGAATGGCAGGAGAGCATGAAAGAGCCTATGTGTAGCGGCAAGACGGGGGTTAGCCCGGGCTCAGCTGTTCAGGGAATGCCGTATAGAAACCTAAGCCCGCAGGTAGCGGACGTGGGGCGACCTGGTGCTAGGCGGGTCTCAGGGCATCCGAACGTCAATGCTGAGCCAAGGCAAATGAAAGACCCAGAAATATATAGCCCCAGAGAGAGAGAAACACCGGAAGGACAGCAAAGAACCGGAAACAAGAGATAAGACAGAGAAGGAGTGCCCTCTGGCTGCAGAGGGCGTGACAATTAGTGCATTGTGCAGATTGGATTTAGTATGCCGTGACTTAATCTCTACAGTTTTGACTGTAATTACATTTTTTTCCCTTTTTATTGCTTTCCCACTTTGTCCAGAGCATGAAAATGATGTGTCACATTACCAACACCTAAGTCTTGCCAATGTCATGCCATGCAAATATGCATGAATACTGTATGTCATGCCATGTCATGTCATTTACCAAACCACTTTATACCATATGGTGTCGGAAGGAAGCCGGAGCCTACCCGGCAAGCAACGAGCGCAAGGCAGGGTACACCCTGGACAGGACGCCAGTCCAGCGCAGGGCAAGTGCAAGTCAATCATACATGGGGGCAATTTGAAGGCCACGGTAAAGGCCAAGGGGTGAAATTTGGCCAGGACACCGAGATAACTCCCTACTCTTATCGAGAAATGCCCACTGAGAGTCAGACCTTGGTTTAACATCTCTCCCGAAAGACGGATGCATGAATATGATATAACATGATTTCCATGATCTTACAAAGTGTGAGGTATACTGCAATTAGTGTGAGGTATACTGAAGTATTGCTATTGTATAAATACATCCTGAACTGAATAATTCAATATGAAGTTCAGAGGGACGTACAGTAGTACAGTGCTCGGCACCTGAGGCACCTGAGGTGTCTATTGGCCAGACTTTGGCTTGCATCTCCTGCAGGTGACACTAATCAGCTTGTTCTCCCGAGGATTTTAGCGTTTAGAGGATGTGAACATTGAGCAAATGCATTAATCTGGCAGAAAGAGGTATCCCTCACTTCCTGATTGGATAACCATCACAAATAGTATTTTATTTTTAATCTGCCTTTGGCATTTTTGTTGTCCCCAAAGCTTATGAACAAATCCCTTTAAGTGTATAGACGGCATTAGGCATACCGTGGAGCCAGTAATCCTCTATTTCAAATTGGTTTGTTGTTTCTTAGCTATTAATAAAAGCACATGACAGCATGGATGACCGTGTCTGCTAATTTAATTCCCCCGTTCATCTGATTTAGTCTGTCATTTGCATGAACAGACTGCGGGGGAGGTTAGGGTAACAGGGTTTGTGAAGTTAATGCTTTTCACAGTATCATGGTTTTGATAGGGCCAAGAGGTCTTCTTGAAATCCAGCCCACTTTTTCTGCACATTGCTGTACAGTATCAGTACTTCTGAACAGAAGTGCAGCTATCTACAGTAAGTGGGTGTACAGCAGCCAAGGCCATACAGAATACACGATTAGAACTGACAGCGACCCAGTGACGTTGTGTGTTAAAGGACTGTAAAACCTAGAAACCTAGAAGACCAGATTCAAAGAAACAGTGTCTGCTCAGATCCATTCAACTCTTAGATCCATGTGGGGGGTCAGTTTAGAGAAATCACACATCTTAAATAGTAGACTATTTTCCGCTTGATTTTGTTATACTATCCCATTGTTATATTCATGTCAACACCACTGAGACATACAGACCTGAGTACTGACACCCAGTGTCTTGAGGTAGTTCGTTCAAGAGAGTGTCCAGACTACAGCTTCCTAGCACAAATGAGTGCTCAATAAACCTAAAAGAGATGTCTTCTGATAAACAGCTTAGCAAATAATATTTACTACACTCCATAAATCAAAGAACAGCCCGAGTGCCAGTACTCATTTCCACAACTGTACAGTCTGTGTGCCTACGCCCACGCCACTAAAGAGCACCCAAGCCAAGTGCCTCCCAGCAGAGGGGTGGAGGGCAGAAGAGCAAGCCGAAATAGCTCCCGCCTCCCCGCTGTCCAGATGCCCCGACCCCATGGTGGCTGCACGTTGCTCCCCCCCGCTGCTGTGGAAGTCGGCCGCAGCCTCTCCTCTTGCTTTCTTGCGGCTGGCGGCGTCTGTATGCCTCCACGAGGCACGGCGATGAGTTCCAGCCGCTGCTCCTGGTGTGGGACAGGCCCATCTGCTCCTGCGTTTCAGCAGACTCTCGGCATCTCTCCGTCAAGCAGGCTCGCAGCTCGTTGCCACGGCGCTGCAGCCTGCTGGGGGTTACCGAGCCTGCCATCTGCCTGCTCATAGACCTCGGAGCAGCAAGAAAATAGAACAGATTTCTCCTACCTGATGTGGGATGGGAGGAAATTATAGAATGGTACAGTATGGTCTGGATTTAGAGACTTGTTCTGTTTTTCATAAAAGTGCCCTTGTTGCTTCTGAATCTCTACGTACATATGTTTCTGTGTACAAAGATGTATATTACACAAATAGAAACTTGCCAAGAATAAGCCTCCCTGCAGAACATAGGTCTCCCACTTCCTCTAAAGCAACAGTTCCCAAGCCGTGGTCCGTGTGCAGGTTTGCTTGCCATGTCACAAACACGAACTACGTCCTGCTACCGTACATTCTACATCAAGAGGTTAAGAGAACTGAATCCCTTCAGTCTGAACAGAGCTGGCAGGTGAAGTGCAAATGAGAGGGCATTTACAAGGTGGAAACGTAGGGGAAGGTCCCTTAAAATGGAGGAGGCATTTTTGACATGAAGCCTGCTCATGTGATAGAAGCTTATGCCTCGGGATTGGTAATGAAGAGCTTGAAAATCAATCCGCAAGTTGCTTTTGGGAGAAAGAAAATTTTGGGCCATCATCGCACTTAAAAAGCTAAGAGAAAAAAAAAAGCACCATCAAGTATAATTTTTATATATCATAGATACGCTTCAGGGTGCTACAAGGTGCGTATTCCCTGTTCTTAAAGACGGGGATTTCAGTTTATTAGGTAGCCCTGTTGTTAACATAGTAGTGTTGCATGTCAGTATTAGGATTTTCAAATGGTATTCAGGGTAAAAAAAAAACACCAGGAACATTTTGGAATGAGAAATACAAGATGTTGCATCACAGATCATGGAAATCCCGTCTGTATTTCCCCCTGTTGTGTTCTTTCAATTGTTCCAAATAAATTCCACACATTTTCCCTACGAACAGGGGCATGTAATCCTGGTGCTGGAGGAGCAGTGTCTCTCTGGGTTTTCTAGATCTCTTCAAAGCCTCAGCTGCTGAAGAGCTGGAAGCAGCTGTTGATCTGGTCCCATTAAGCTTGTAATGAGCTGATTGAACGGAGTCAGAAAGAAAACCAGGGGAGAGGTCCTCCAGGACCAGGGCTGCCTGCCTTAGCATCTGAGACTCAGGCATGAGGAGGTGAGGTCAGACCTGCTGAATGCCTAGGGTATACAGAGGATACCTTCTATTTATCTATTACGCTGCAATAGATACAAGATGACTTCACAGCTGGCAGCCCACTGCCTCTCCCTTCTCACTCCCCCACCAACAAAGCCTGTCTCACAGCACCCTACTCTACGCCCCCTCCTCCTCACAGCTTGCACAGCACCTGTCCCATGTCTCCGCCTGTGCAGTGTTCAAAATAAGGAGTTCGGGATGGAAATTGGGATGTGTGTGTGTGGGGGGGTGGGGGCAGGAGTTTTGGGGGGGTCCCAATCTGTAATTCTCGTCTCCTGTTTCTGTCCTTTCCGTCCTTTCCTGTTTGTGTCGGCGCTCCCTCCCTCAATGTGGGGGTGCACTTATTCTAGCGTCTGGTGTGCGGTCCTGTGCATGTCTCGTTTGCTTTCGTTCTTTTTCCACCTACACAGCCTGGCTGTAGACCTCCTCACCGGACCATCCCACTTGTTCACCTGCAGACGGTGATGAGGAGGAAGTGGTGGTCTCACTTCCTAGCCTCATGTTTGTTTCAAGCCATCCTTACGCGGCTGAGCATGCCACTGTCTTGTGCTGACATTTACCCAGACGTCTTCTGCAATAATGTCTTCTGACATTAAAATGTGTGTTCCTGTACAGTCAGATCAGCAGGTCTCAATCCTCCTTTGCAAAGGGTCAGTAGTTCTTATCTCCAGTTTTCACTGTAACCTGTTTTACTTCAAAGACCCGAAGTCACATTGCACTTCAAGTTCTCTTTGGTTTCCATCCCTCAAGTGTTTCCTTGATATTCAGAACATTTTGTGTTACCAGCCTATCCCTAGATCTGCTGTGAAAAAAAAAAACTTTCATATGCCCTGTTTACCATACAATAGTCCTCATTGCATTATATCTGGTTCTGTTTATAATATTGTTCTTAATATACTCCAGCCCTGATTTATAGTGTGAATAGAATTCATTTTTGTTTGTGAGAGGATTCTACCTAATGGTATCAGTACAGGGTTTGTCATTTGCAGTTGGCCTGGTGCTTCTTTTTTAAATATATTCTGGATCTTAGCTAATATAAGCATGTTACATGTCTGTGGCAGCCGATTATTAAAACAAACCCTGTAACATAGAGTCTGGCTTTGTAGGACTTGGTCTGGAGCCCTGGACCAGAAAGAGCTCCTCATATTTGTGTATTTTGTTTTGTTTTTTCTCCCCTGCAGGATGATCCCGCCAACCAACAAGACATTCCTAGTGAATGACTTGGCGGCAGGCCGGGAGTACGACCTGTGTGTGCTGGCGGTCTACGACGATGGGATCACCTCCCTGACGGCCACCAGGGTCGTGGGCTGCGTGCAGTTCAGCACCACCAGCGAGACCAGCCAGTGTCGCTTCATCCACAGCCAGTTCCTGGGAGGGACCATGATCATCATCATAGGGGGCATCATCGTGGCCTCCGTGCTGGTCTTCATCATCATCCTCATGATCCGTTACAAGGTCTACAGCAACCAGGATGACCACTGCAAAGCCAAGGTCAGCAACGTCTGCTCACAAACCAATGGCAGCCAGAGTGCCATACAGCGTTCGGCCTCCAAGCAGGCGGAGGACAGCCACGAGCTGTGTGCCAAGGAGGCCAAAGAGTGCAAGATGTTGGTGCTAAAGGTGGACTGCGAGACGCGCGAAGGCCCCCAAGCAACTACGGCCACCCTGGAGGTGGAGCTGCCTCCTCTCCCCGCCGACCAGAAGAAGCGGCGCACCAGCCTGGACGTGCAGCACTCCACAGCGGCCGTGCTGTCTTCAGAGGAGGCTCACACAGACAGCAGCCAGATGGGCTCCACCATGTCCCTCTGCCTGATCGGCCCCAACGCGGGGAGCAAGGAGGCCCCCCGGATCAGGGACAGAAAGGGTGCGCTGGCCAACATGGGCCTCCTCCCCGGAGACATTGCAAGAACTCGGCACAGGTTCTCCTTCGACGGGGACTACTCCCTGTTTCAGAGTCACAGTTACCCCCGGAGGGCACGGACGAGGAGACACATGTCCTCCACCCAGCTAAACGTGGACTCCTCGCCCCTGGCCAACCGCAGGGTGACCTTCAGCAGCACAGAGTGGATGTTGGAGAGCACAGTTTGAAGGCCCCCCCCAATAATCCAGCTCCTTCTGGTCAGTGGAGGAGGCTCACAGGCCAATGCCAACTCATCATGCAGCGGTGCCTTATTCACACAGATGTACCAATGGGGATGCTGCTAAGTTTGGTCTACTTGTTCCTTTTCACATGAGTTCTGGGGATTTTGTTTCTCTTTGTACAACCACAACCAAAGGCTTGTGGTGAACGGAAATGACTGTTTCCCCTTTTATGTATGGAAAAAACACACACACACGCACAAAGTACCCAAGCTGCACCCGGTGAGCATAATGAAATTGTGATCCCCCCTGTGAAATTCTTTCTGGACCCATGCACAGAAGACACGACATACCAAGGACAAGTATTGCACCAGTCTAGACAAAAAAAGAGAGTAAATCATTCTACTAATTCGATACACATACCGACACAAATCTATTTTAGAAAAGGAGAGAAGGATTATGAAAAACGCTGGACATTGCGTTCTCAACTGCTACTGTAAGATACCGATGGATCTTGTATCTGGCTGGTCTAGATAAAAAAAAAACAACAAAAAAATCTATATATAAAAATATCTGTGTATGTGTATTAAATATATATATAAGTCATAAGGCACATGACTTTTAAAAAGGCATTTGAGTGTTGATCACAAGTTTTTACATTAAAAACCTGTGCCATCACATTTTCCCCTTTTATTTAATATTTGAAAGTTTGAACCACCTCGACCTTGAAAAAGGGTATTAAAAGATTTTGTGTGGGTTACCTGCGGTCTGCATTATTTATTTTTGTTTGCCACACTACAGGTTGTTTGTAAACTAAGTACCACATGTACTGAAACATGACAAAATGTCCCGCTTAAGTATAATGAGATTGGGTCCAAAGGTTTTGATATCTCAGAAAACCATTTCTTTTTGAAGGAGGACTCTGACTGATGTGAATTAAAAATGCCCTGAATCACTGAAAGGTAAAGCACAGTCTAATTTGTAAGAAGAAAATGTAATTTAGTTAATTCTCTGTGACATTATCAATTATGAATCTGTGCATGACATGATGGAGTTTTTCCAGCAGTAGGTATAATGAACTGTCCCAGCATAGCTGGTATCTCTCCAGGGCAGTTTCGCGTGTTCTTAACCCACAGGCTGTGGCTGATCACACAGAGGGAGAGGAGTGCAGTAATCTCCCCGTCTTGTTTTTCACAATCCGATTCACAGCGTTATACTGTACAAGATTCCATCACATTGCATGACTGGTTGATAGCATGCACCCACTCTGAGTGGGGGAGAGCAGAAATAAGGGGGGTTACAACCTCTGTAGGAAGTGCCAAAGCAAAATCCCTTGCTTTGTCACCCAGGTTTTATTTACAGGCAAGACGGGAAGATTTTGCACTTCGTGGTTTCTGGGATGGGCTGTCGCCATGAATTCTAACTTTTTGTGAAAACAGGGAAAAATGAAGACGTTCGTTTGCCCTGCTAGAAAGCTGCATTTTAAAGGATGGTTTGTGCAAAAAAACACACAGTTATGGACCCACAAACATAAACGACATTAATAATTCAGTCTTAGTTAATGTTTTATTTCATGGCAATTCTATGTATCAGGGGAAATCCATTGACAGCGTATTCTGTCCAAACGCCCTGTATGCTCTTGGAAACTGAAAAGTGCTGTTTAAACATGTAAGTGAGTAATGGATACTGGAATTTGACTGTGAAGAACTTCAAAAAGACTGGGAATTTAGTTATTAAAAGTCTCCTATTCTGTTGATGCCTGCACCACAGGGGTATTCACAGCAACTCTGTGGTGATTAAAATCACATTGCTGTTCAGCCGTCCTTCTGCAACGTCTCAAATGGCGGAATTCTGCTGTCTTGCCAAGCTTACAAAAGATTTTTTAGGGCATTAGGATGTTTAAGATTGATGACAGAAGTGGGATGAAGCTTACAGTATTATGCTATTGTTGTTAAAATGGCACAAAGGATAAGTGAAACATTGAGCTAGTATCTTCCTGATCACAAAACTGGTGTTAAAGTGATTAGCCATGAGTTGACAGCTTCTACTGATTTATTGATAACCACCCATAAATATTCCACTTGTCTACGTTTTCTCTCTGCCGGGCTTGTGCTCACTGACTGGTACGCTGCCAGAGGTCTGCTGTCATCCCCGACACCTTGGTGTTTGTTTGTCATCCAGTTCTGAAAGACGTCCGACAGTACAGTTATGTAATGTGTGTTACTGAACCTCTTCCCTTATGTGGAGAAGAGAAGCACACATGTGTGGGTCTCTACGGAATGTTACATTTGGGGTCCCTGCTCCTCTGAGTAGAGGTAAGTACTGTGCCCCGATTAACACCTCCTCTGACTTGCATTTGTTTGCTGGGGGTGAGCCTAGAGATCTGTCACTAGTGATGCACAGCAAAACAAACTTGAGTGAGCGACAGGAATTCTCACTGCTGTGAAAATGCATTTTGCTGAACGAGGCTGTGATTGGTTTTGCACGGCACTAAATAACATAAATGAGAATTGTTTACAAGGCTTACACAGCTTATTTTTTACAGAATGCTTGAATTCGTTGTGTTCTCATACCAGGATTATTTTTATTTTAGGTGCTCTTATCCCTCAGATCAAATTTCCTTTTTATATTGAAATGCTGTATCAAGGGTCCATAACACTGAGTAGTTCCCTGATATGTAATTTCATTATTAATACCATTATGAATGTCCTCTGTGAAAAAAGAGTGCAAATGTTCCCAGGGGGTGAGTTGTTTTTTTAACCCATAATGAAGAGCACCAAATTAAAAGCAGAACAGTTTATCCTTCTGTGTGCGACTTTGCTCTGGTGATACTTTTCATCATAATAAATGGAAAAGTCCTGAAATTATTAGAGCATTTAAATGGGGGCACCTGTAGCTCTACAGTGCAGTGCCTGTCTTACCATCTCTCATCCATCACTTCCTATCTGTCCACGCCATAGCAGCATGATGAATTTCACTTGATTGGCATCTAAATGTTCAGCTTGTTTAACTGACAGTCAAGAAAAAATGGGCAGCAGAGGACCAAAACCTGCCGACTGCAGCTATTCACAATTTGTAGAACACAAAAACTACATAGGCAACAACATCACCACCAGAAGATGCCTGCAAGTGCACAGCACCTGTTCTGGAAGTTTGCTGTGGTTTATGCCATGATAAAAGCATTATTTAGCGGAACAAGAGAATCATGGCAACTTTTGCAGGTGGAGCCATCTGCAAAGTATGGGAGACTATGATCATGGCACATATATGGAACAGCCGCAATAAACCATCCTCACAGAGCCTAGGCTTAACAGTGTGAGCCAAGAAAGGCAAGGGTTTTGATCATTTGCATTGTCAAAATGTAAAGTTTTTAGACACAGTTCCTTTTCACTAGCAACAATGTGTCTATGGGTCAAATCAACGAACAAAGGGTTCAGTTAGTTTCTTGGCACTTCTGGTACTTTTTAATGATGTGTGTTCTAGAATTGCTGTTTTAATCACTTTCTCCATGTTTGATTCTAAATAAGCACCAGCTAATGAACAATTAGTACTCATTTTCAGGGACTGATGTCAAGACTGGAGTGCTCATTCTTTAACAGGGTAAGGAGGAGGTTTTTCTGTGACGAGAGAGTGAAAGGTCAGTGATCCATCATGCTGAAAATGGGCACCAGAGAGGTGGCTTGACTCAGGCCTTAAAATAACAACACTGTAAAGGAAATAAGAAATATCACGTCAAGATTTCACTTCCAGTAGGTGAACATGGACATGTCAAGATGAGTTGCAGAAATGACAAAAGGAAAAAAGATTGCAGAGGGAGCACAGAGGGCTTGGCACAGATTACCAATGCAAAATCCAATCTGATCTTTCACGAATCTAATTTTGTGAGAGTCATATGTATTATCGGACTCGGGTCAGGTCTGATTAGTATTAATTGTGTTTTGTTATTTTAGTATATTTATTTTTAAGGTATATTTAGGCTGCATGGGGGAGAGTAGTCATAGCAATGAACAATATTGGATTTTTGCCTCAGCCTCATGATGGCTGCGTTCCTAATTAAACTATTATTTTTTAGCAGCTTGGAGTGATTCTGTCTCCTTTTGTGTAGTAGTGGCCTATCCAAAGTGATGACCAAAAGCCAGTCCTCACTCCCACTCAAGTGAGGATCAAAGCAGGAGTACACATAAAAAATTCAAAAGGATTTATGCTGTGCTTCCCACGGGTTAAAATTCATTGCACTCTATGTGAGGAGATTCCAAGGCATGTAATTTTTCTTGGTTGATGCATCCTGGGAGGACGAATGTATGAATAATTGATTCAAAGTCAGGGGGCTGAAGGTGGTAACATACAGCACTGTGTTTCGTGGGCAGACACGAAGTCAGCCCAGATTTCACACAGCTGGGATTTCACTTCAGAGCCCCACATCTGTCAATCAGTGCTTAACACTGGAAGTAGAACAAACCTCATTTGAAATGGCTTTACGGACAATAAGGGAAGGCAGCCTTCCGCATGCACTTATGCTTTTTATCCACAGATTTATTGCTGTTCAACGCTTGTCAAGCTCTTGTTGTTGGGCATCATCCTCAACTATTTTACTAGCAGAACCGGCCAGACTATAGCATTTCATATAAAAGACTGAAGTCCTGTCTGTGTAATTCAAGCCAGAATCTGTATCCCAGACTGCGAGGGCCTTCAGTCTGGGGGGTCTTGATGCGCTGACGCTGAATGTCATGGCACGATGAGAGATGTGACCCTGGCTTTGAAGCGTGTGCAGAAAGGGTTGCGTGCAATGCAGCTGATGAAAGCCTTCATTCTGAAAGCAGGCATACATGTTTGCCAGTTCAGATCATCAAACAGAGATTACAGGGCTGGCTGTTGAATATTACTTTAGCATGCATATGAAATCTGTGCTGTTTGCACAACACCAAGTATTAAGACTTTCAAACAGGGAAGGTGTACAGTCTGTTTGCAGATCTAACAAACACCACCAGCATAGCAGAAGAACACCAAGTTCGTTGTAAGAAATGGCAGTGACAATACATCGAGTGTGTGCGCTTGTGTCTTGAAAAACACTTCAGTTCGTGTGTTTCATTTTTACCCTCTTTTCCCCGTTTTGTCATTTTTTCCTTCTTTTTACACAGGTACTTCTTATCTCCCAGAATTATAAAACTAGTGGCAAATCTACAATGAGCTCAATGTCTGAGTTCAAAATTGTAAAACTGGAAGGAAGGCGACTCTACAGATGACATAGAAATTAGTGGAAATTATATGATTATAAAATGATTCAAAATCTTCAAAGAAATTGACAAGATTCTTCAGAATGGACATTGAGACACGCACCTGAGGCCATGAGTGGAAGTGCATTTAATACTCTTCTTTACACAGTGTTGTGGTAGTGTGGAACAAGCTAACCAGCCATGTTACAGAAGCTGAGCCCTTGGCTTCTTTTAGGAAATGGCTGGATGAGATCTTCGGATAAAAGTGGCCTCCATTTGTTTTAAACTTCATGTTCTTATGACAGTATTGGAGTTTATTTCTTGTAGTTATTGTGTCAAACAGAGGGATGTTGTTTATATGGATGTGGTTTGTGAGCTGTTTCAAAGCAG